ATAACTATACTAACTTTTTCTACCCCTATGCCCACATACTTATGTATCAGGTATATTTCCCATTCATATTTTATAAACCCTGAACTAGACAATTATTAATTGTTTTAGTATTTGTGATAAAATTTTTCAAAATGTTTTTAAATTGTATTTAAAGATTTATTTTTTGCCAGCATCGACTGATAACTAACTACATAATTAGCTATAAATATTTGATTGTTTATATTAATATTACAACTTATACTAATATAACATTATTACTAATAGGAAAACATTATATGAGAAATGTATCACAATTGGCAATAAAACTTTTTTTACTATTCATTACCTGTCGTCGACATACCGGTGCTCAACGGATTAGACTAAAAATTTTTGTTAACTTTCATTACACATTAAAAACTAATAAAATTTTAATTCAAATAACAGTACAATTAATTGGAAAACCGTTTTATTGATCAATTAAAAACAAATAGTAGTAAAACTATACGTTATATAAAATATATGTCGTGTCGTCGACACCTACACACACAACTCCAGGTGCTATACAGCCTTAGGCTTTGGGTCTATACATGACATTACCGGCGAACAGCTTAGAATCGGAGGTAATCTTATGTGTCTGTCCACAGGTGGGGTGGGCTGTCCTCTGGTCGGGACCGAAGTTCAAGTAAGCGGTGGTGACAAACATCTCGTCCATATTGGTGCCGCCAAACACCGGGGTAGTGGTGAGTGGGCACGGGATGGAACAGGTGTCCACCACATCGCCGGTGTTGGGATCGATTTTGACTACCCGTCCGCCGGCGTAACTCGAAGCCCACAAATGGTCGGTGATATCGATGGTGAGGCCGTCCGGGTGGTCGTTCACTGTCCAGTCGGTGCTATTATCGCAATCAACCAGCAACTTTTTGTTGGCTATTTGTTTGAAAATATAATGTGATTTAGTATGATGGTTTTTACTACAACTTTTAGTAACAGTATATTAATTTAGTTTATAAATTATAAGTTTGTATATTTGTTTTCGGTTATTGAATCATTAATAAATAATTTTAAAAAACAAGACAGGTAATTATCCCGGTCGTGTCTAAATCCAATTCAAAAGTATTATGTTTCACTTATAAATACCACATAATATAGCCTATTTTGCCATTACAGTTTACAATTAATAGAAAATAATTCAATAAACAACCTCACATTAAATATAACCTACTGTCACATAATTAATTATAAAAGTATCATGATAAAGTAAATATTAAAACTTATCAGGACGAGTTAAAACTTACCGATAGTTCCCTTTTCGAGGTCAAAGTCAAACACATATATCTTGCGACCCTCCGAGTCGTTGATAAACATCTTTTTCTGGTCCTTAGGCCACGTCATACCGTTGGTCAGGTAGAAGTTATCGGCCACCTTGGTGAATTTACCATCCTCCCACTTGTACAGATTACCTTTACCGGGAACTACACCCTTATCGCTGTCCAGAATGGTACCCATCCATAATCTACCAAGCTTATCAGCCTTTCCATCATTGAAACGCTCCTTACCCTTCAGTTCAGGCGCTACCTCTCCTATAGGGATGTAGAAAGGGAAAGGGATGTGTAAATAATTGCTCACAAGTTAGTAAATGATAGTAAAGTCAATTAACACGTTGATGTAATTATTAATTTCCTAGCTTACTTTTAATAAATATTTTTAGTTTTGGTGGGATTTTTATAATTATAAACTACTCATAGATAATAATAAAAATAACTTGATACTATTATTATTTAGGAAATTTTAAACAACTTTATTGACTAATATAATTATAATTAAGTGCCTAATAATTAATTTAACGTAATGACCCTTGTGAGAATTTAAATAGATAATAATAAAAATAACTTGATACTATTATTATTTAGGAAATTTTAAACAACTTTATTGACTAATATAATTATAATTAAGTGCCTAATAATTAATTTAACGTAATAACCCTTGTTAGAATTTATAAATAATTTATCACATTTAATAAACTTATGCTAAATAGCAACATAGTAAAATAATAACATTCATACCGATAACCGTGTATTTTTTAGTTGCCCAGTTCAGTTTGACCATCTTATTACGCTGGGTGACCAATAAGTCCTCGCCATTGGGATATGGATG